CCGGTTCTTTTCATATCGCGAACGAAGATCGGCCTCGTAAGTACAATCGGCCCATAAAAGGCAGTAGATCCGTGAGGATATGCCGTGAACTTGCTTAGATGTATGGTCAAAATACTATTGTCTCGTCAACCTGGGAGTGTGATTACATTATACGTCACTAAAGAGAATATGGGATATAGGCTCTGCGACAACTATAGCTCGGTTCGCATCACTCATAGCGATTGACTGTGATGATAATCACCTGGTTTTTATCATTAGTCTAGTATTGTGATGCGAGGGGCAGATCGCAAGTTCACTTAAAGAAAAAAATTATTTTGAACCTAAATATTTAAAGACTTCTTAGGGCCTTGGCATAATTAGTGACTAGCAATGAGCTGCTAATGTCAGCTAACTAATCTTTAGAGAGTTGCCTTGTGGACCAATATAAGTAAGAATGAATTATATAGTATGCTTAATGGCCTAACGTATGCTCAAGATAAACATGAACTAGGTATTCTTTAATTGAAGCGCATTTTAGATAGACTAGAGAAGATGATATTTGTATGCGTACTTAGTTTAACCATGGTTTTCTTGGACAATATTATTGAAGTTAGTGTATATGCTTTACTCAATGAGTGTTCTCTAAAACCCAGCCTCTATTTTTTTCTGGTGTTTTCTGTAGTTCCTAATACTAATCAAGATTGTGGAAAGAAAGTGCATTTTGGTGCAATTATTGTGTAAGCAATGTTGGGCTCAAAATGGGATTTGCATGCTAATTTATCAGGAGCAAGGGATGGACTTTTTTGTGGGGTGTTTTGTGAATACTAGGGTTTCACACATATGTAAACAATCTGAAAATGAAGTTTCAAGAAAACTGTGATAAGTTGTGCAGATTAACTACAGCTCTAACGAACATTTTTGGAAAGGAGGTTAAAGAAGTGAAAAAGATTGCATTATGCTCAAATTGCTTTAGATTCGAACGATGTATTCACATTTTCACAAACTACAAACATAATTGCAAGATGAAAAGAGATCCCAGAAACATGTGATGTTGTAGAGGTGTAAAGTTGTCAAAAGTTTAGATTGTTTTTGCCAGATGGAAATTGATACAAAAACATGTGGGTGTGTGAAAGTGGTCTAACAGCTCAGTAATGTGTATGAAAGGGAGCTAGGGAAGTGCAAAGAGCAGAAAATTAGCATCCAAGAAATTTGGAAGGAAATTTTGACGGCACATGGACAGCTACAAGAAGGCAGTTGATAGAATGAGCAAAAAATAAGAGAATTGATTGGCTCCTCTATTTTGAGGCTCTCGCAATGGATTTAAATAAGTAGCATAGATACAACTAGCTGTATTTCTAGTGCATTTGAACAAATATATAGGAAGCTATTAGAGTTAATGTAATATGAATAATATAAATATGAAAACCACACTCGCAGTAAGACTTATTATGCTGTATAATAATCTACAATCTTGGGAAAGAGAGAGAGATCGCTGATCTAGTTGATGACAATTGACCAAACAACCACATGCATAGTCCATATTCATAGTTATGACAGATTAAGCATTTTTTCTGTAGTCAAAAACGTAATAATTTGTTTTGAACGGTTATGACTAGCTATTTAGAAATAAGAGGGAGTGAAGGGAAGAGACAGAAGAAACATAATACAGAATGTACACTACATCAAGAAAACAGACTCTTATACTTAACCTACAGGGCTCCTTCTCGACATTTTGAATATATTCTCAGGGCAAGACACATATTTACGCCAGATGTAATATCATACCATATACCCTGCTCTCTGCAGTTCTGTACCAGGGCAGGCGCCTTTCGCGCATTGTCTACCTCTCCCTCTCTCTCGATATTATTTCTCAGTCTTAGAGATGTTTTTCTTTACCAGCTAGGGGCCAGGGTGACGCGACGGACGCGCGCGGTCAATCCTAAGGTGTTAAGGAGGACTAGGTAAGCAGGGTTTGATGCAAACTTCCGCGCAGTCGATTGACCTTTCCATTTAGCTGGTGTTCTGTTCTGAAAAGACATCTTGATAATGTAACCCACAACCCTTCTCCCATACAAATTACCACCTCTATGATAACAATACGTACGACTTATACCTCCGAGTAGTGCTGCCGGTCAGCCTCAAGAGGAGGGGCATCAACCACGAACCAACGAGACTTTGGTAGGGATGCACTGCTGTCCTAAGTTGGATCAATCTAGGTGTTTCTCTTTCTTTTCGGAGATATTTCTTCCTCTAATATTCGTGTCTACAATTATATCTATAGTGCTCTCTAATATCTTGCTCTGTGTGAGTGCTCTTAGTAGAGTTGGAAACTAATTATTGTTGACCACCGCCTTAGTGACTTTATGAGCGGTGGTGGGAGAGAGTTCAGTACATCACTCCATTTTCGTCTTTCACTCGTGCTAATGCTTTCTATAGTAATGATAATTTTAGATAAGCTCAGTTCAATTTTGCTCTTTATATTAATGCTGGATAATTCTTACAACATCTACTTAGGTGTATTGGATGAATTAATTTTAACATTACATTTTCCATAAATATTCCTTACCTCTCGAATTAATTGAACTAGGGAGTTTGGATGGATATCTTTAAGTCTCCTCGGGTATATAATCAAGGTGTAGCGAAGACTGTGCTTGTATACGCGTATTGAAAATCTGAGTTTATTTTTTGCTACATCAAATCGGCTTTACTAGAACTTTTTTAACTCTTGTTGCTTTCATTCGCAAATAGTCGCAAAAGACGATTTCAGTTATGAAATACTGATGGTGAGGAATAAATCTCTCTTCATTCTACGGTTGTCTCGCTCTTTTCTACTGGAGTCTCATGATGGAGAAATTGCTAATGTTACTGCTCCTTGACTATCGCGAACGAAAGCTGTGTCAGAAATTATTGAATGACGCTTAGTGATCTTGTGTCTGCGTGCGTCGTAGGCTCGCAGAGAAACAGAGGACTTGTGGGACAAGACCCACCACGATATGTTGAGATTCAATACACAAAGCAGCATTACTCACTAGAATAACTCAAAGGCGAGAGCAGTTTAAACGCTCTCTCTGTCTCGGCTATGACAACTCCATAGTGTATGATATCAAACTCAAGTCAAGAATGCAAGAGCGTTGAATGAGGACAGAAAAACAATAACGAAAGGTAGATATAGGACAAAGGAGAAGCAAGGTCTTGAAGATTCCTAAATCAATACTGAAATTGTAAACTCGCTCAGATCCAAAGCGCGCATCAAGTCAGAATTGAGATCAGTGTATTTGAGTGCCAATATTTGATTAACAATTTTAGCAACTTACACTCAACCAATAGCTTTGGACATATGTTCTCAAGATATCTCGCCTCTCGTGCGTCTCTCTGCTCTCTTTCTCCTCAACATGCGCGTGAGTGGAAGGACTTCCAAAAAGGTGCTGGTGCAAAGATAGAACGTTTGATTGTGCGAGGTCTGTGCGCTAGACGTGGAGCAATCGCACGCCTGATAATGCAACTCTTCGCCAACGAAAAGAAACGAAACAGTCGCTTACAGACAACAGTGACGACACTCCATCCAAATATCAGACATTCTATGTGTGTCGATGTGCATATGGAGGAATTTTATTAGGACCCTCAATCCGTGGGATTTGGCTAGAAGGACTAGCTCGCAACATAACTAATTATACGATACACATAAGAAATGAGCCACTCAATTGTATATATAAGATTTGAAGAAACTGTAAGTTGACTACTTAAAATTCCAATGCGTGTCGTTTTTTGCGTTAACGTCGCTAAGATTTATCAGATTAACTAATGGAATTGAGATTTGGCGAGAATGTCCTTCACGATAACTAGTCAAATGCTTGCACACACAATTTCGCAAATAAAAGGACATATAAGGCTCACCAAAACTACACACCAATCGCGTGAGGAATAAGACATCCTATTAACGGTATATTGAGTTTCCATAATGACCTATATCATCTAACTACAATGTTATATCCACAAGCAGCGCTAAGGTAAATTTCTCGACGACTCGCCCCCACAATATCCTTATTTGGAATTCATCAGTTTCTATGATACCATATATGATAGTATTTAATTAAGTTGCTGTGTGTCTTTCTTCTAGAGATCTCTAAATGTGAGAATATCTATTGAGAACGACAGCGCAGAGTGGAAAGAACGATATTGGGGATCTACATTTCGCGAAGGAAGGTTGGACCCGAGTGTGTCGACCTTTTAGAGAAGATACAGCCTTAAAGCGAATAGTGGTCTGGGGAGAATTGTAGTACGAGGGAAAGCAGTCAGAAAAGAGAAACTCAGCCTACAATTCCCTTTTAAGTACTTCTGAGGCAACTTCAATTACAATTTCTTGGCCTCTTTTCTTTGCTTTCAACTGTTGTTTTGTTTTTGCATTTGTGTCCATCACTAAGATTTTGAAATGATTGAAAGGCTTTTAGATAAAATGTTTTTAGAACCAAATCTTAGTAAAAACGCAAGTTAATTCTAGAAAATCATTTGAACTGATGCTTTTAGTAGAAAACACTTCAAGTGATTTTGTAACGCAAAAATATTATCTTTAAAAGTACTTGCCAAACAAGCCCTAAGTCTACATGTTTATACCAAATAGCCTGACTAATGTTTCTGACTGGACAATGTGATTCTCATTGCCCACATTGTGACATTGTTTAAGGGGTACTTTGAATAGTAGTTAAACGTTTGGATATGTTAAGATTTTTAGCCCCTTCTTTATTTACTCGTAGAATTTTAACCACTCGACAGGCGTCCGAGCACTAGCTTGAAGGGGATTTGGACATTGTTTAAGGGATCGCGAACAAACACCTCTCGAAGATAATTCAGGCATTGTTCAAGGCTTCTTGAGAGGGCTCTGGCTGCCAAATCCTGACTCATCAATTTGGAAACCAATGAATGAATCCATGGTGACAGATTGATTTCCAAAATTGAGTAGGGAAAAAGAATCAACCTTAGACCGTACAATACCATTCCTAAATGCTAAAAGAATAAGCCATAAATTGAAAATACTCGACCATAAATCTGATTTAAATTGGATAAACTGCTTGCTTAATCCACCTTGGAGAAGAACTTCCAAGGCTTTACCTTACCTTCATCATGATTTATATAAAAACTAAACTAATTACTACTGAACGTACGAATCCATCAATAGGAGATACATTGTTGGAACTGTGAATAACTAAACCCTGCGCTACTGGATTCTGTCACTCTCTGGTTTTGGTTTCGCAACATGAGATTCAAGTATGTGCAGCCAGTTCACGTATTGACCGTGCTCTTTTTTGTGCAGGTGGTGGAGGAGGAAGTTAGTCAGGCTTTCTCCAATGCCTTTGGATTGTAGATATTCCTTGAGGGCATCTTGTAACTGATCATCCAAAGAACTGCCATACATACTCAGATTAGAGTAAGAAAATAAATACCGACAAACCAAATTCATAGTACATTACATCTACAAAGTAAGATGCATAATAATATTCAGAAAGCATCTGATGTAGGAAATTACCACAAATTAAGCTTGCAAAATATAAGCTTTTGGTACAGCCACACAACGGAATACGATAAAAATGGAAAACCCACAGAAATCCTACTAAGATGCTTTCAAATTTTTGGGATTTCCCTACCCCTGCTATACTAGACCATTTTTCCGTCCGACAATCCTTGAGGTGCTGCTGGCTACGCAACTCCACAAACAAAAAGTTAATGAATAAACTATGGATTTTCTTTCCTTAGATGCACCAAAACTTCAACTTTGGTGAATTCTTTGAAGTGGCAGTGGCACTGTTGCATTAGGAGTGTGATCATGAATACACCATACATGATCAGCTTAGGTAGCTCCATGTTCATTAACTTGTGTTTCTTCAAGTAGTGCGACCAAATACTGCAGCTTCTGCAGAGAAGCAACCTCTGGAGGAGTCCTCTTGGTAGAGATATAGACTGATTTATTGTAGGCAAACCCAGCATGAGGAAGAACGGTGTTTTTTTATTGGATTGTTTTGGATGATTAAAAGTACTCATTTAAAGGGCTAGGATCTATTTTATTAGGACTATAGTTCTTCTAGACTCTTAACTTCTTATATTTGGCTTTCTAGTTTTGTTTTTTTGGGAAGATCAGGTGTTTGTTCCATGAGCAACTACGATAGGTTTTTCACATTGTTTTCCTTTAAAAAAAAAATTGGCTTCAACAACAATCAAAGGATCCCTATTCGGATTCTCCTCATTGCACTCCGCATTGTGCTCCCAACCACCTCAGAATCTAGCAACAGAGGACTTCCCTATCAAATGACTAGGTGGAACATTCCTAGTTATCATTGGAAAGTTCTTCCAAAAGATTCACTCCAACAAGACTCGGGTTTCCTTTTGCTCCATAATTCAATAACTATATGGTTTTGCACTAAAAACTTTCAGTGTTCCTCCATAGTCATATACCCAATAACAGCATAAGTTAATATTTTTTATTTGTAGCACGCTTGAAGGTTTCATTACACTAATATAACATCACCAAACACCAAACGATATCCGAGTAGACAGAACTCCTACATTGGACAGCAGCCTTTCTCAGAGAATAAGAAGAATTTCATGTAATGACGTCATGCATGGCAAAAATTGCTATTCAATTACATCTGTTTTGATCATTCTAAAGTACATAAACTATTTTTCTAAGGGAAAAAAACAATATCTGAACAACATAACCTGCTCAGGGAAGAAAAAAGCGGGGAAGGACTATAGAATCTAAGGCCCAAGGTGTTGATTCATCATCGTCATTTAATTAGATTTTCAACAAGGACACTTAAAGAATGGATTTCTTGAGTATCGAGTTGCAAAGCACAAGTGAAAAAAAAAAGCCACCCGTTTAAATATTGCACTACATTTATTGTTTGTGGCTGATACAGGTGCCTTTCTAGCAACTGTTTTTTTTCTTTTCTTTTTTCCGTTTATTTGTTTATGTTCTTTTCAGCCAAAGTCTCAAAATTAATGATCATAAGAATAACAGAAATTTTATGTTCATCAGGTGTAAAATTAATAGGGAACAGCTGACTAACCTGAATGCGGGGCCTCTGTAGACAGAAGGGCCAAGACCAGCTGATGGTTGAAGAATATGGGCATTATGGATGTTGAATACGGACCCAGAACCGATAATCTCAAAAACACTGCAATCGAACTGCAGCATTGAGCTCAAACCAGGCTTCTTCACACATACCTTCATCAAAGCTTCCCCTGGATACTCGCTGTATTTTTCAACAGAGTCTTCCTCAGAGTAAAAGGGACCCAACAAAGCAGAAACAGCAACCTCCTCACCGCTCTCAAATTTCCTCCTCAAAACCACATCTTGGGACCGTGGTGAATCCCACTCCACCACAAAATCACCCAACGAAGAGCTTCCTCTTTCCTGCATCAATGATTGATTCCGGGTCACCCACTAACACAAAAACTACTCGAAAGAGATAATCAGACACCCCCAACCCCCTCTCTTTTTATTACAAGCGATGTTACTAGTCTAAGTTATACTAATGAGAGGGGAAGGGTTTGAACCCGCGACGCAGTGGGGGTTAAAGAGTAATGCCTTATTCACTAGAGCAATCCACTACTTGCAAGATCGCAATTTTGCAGTTGAAAAACAGATTCTCTTATACCCTGAATCTAATTTCTTTCAGAAACAAAAGCAGAAAAGCTAACGAAAACAACAAAAACGAAAGAGAGAGAGAGAGAGAGAACCTGAAAGGGATTAGAGGAAAGCTCGTATTGTATCTCGGACTGCAAAGCCCTGAGCAAGTTGCATTGTTTGAGAGCTTTGCAACCCTGCCGCGCCAGACCCATCGCCTTCGACATTCTCCACCCTCCGTCCCTCTCTTTCCGCCCCGGGGGACACTTGAACCTTATATATTTGTTTAAACCCCAAAACGACACCGTGGGTTCACCCCCCCCAAAAACGACACCGTACGGTAACAAATTTCGATAGCTTTTCTCCGCAGTTTTTACAGTTGCCGTTTAAATTGCGTTAGGGCTTTGAAAAAGGTCTTAAACCCCTTTCCCTCTCTTGGAGAAAGCCATGGCGACGGAGCAAAACATGAGTAGCTGGACCCATCTGCTCCACTCCTCCACCAAGCTTCTCGAACAAGCGGCGCCTTCCGCTCAGTTCCCTCCGCTACAGGTTCAGCTCCTCCCATTTTGTCTCTGTTTGCTTTCTGTTTGTTTGGTTACCGAGAAAACCAAGTGAGTTTGACTACTCTGTGGGAAACTTCTAGTGTTAGGGTTTTTCGCTAACAATTGAGGAAGTAGTTAACCCGCTTAAGCATTGTCAATCCACTGTTCAGATTTTTGCTGTATTCCTGCAATTGCAGTGTTTGGTTTCCAAGAAAATTCGGGTAAAGAAAGAGAGAGTTCATTTTATTGTGTTTGATTTTTCGTTATTGGGAGCTTCGAAAAATTTATATTTTGGATGGTTCATTACTCAAATTTGAGCATACGGTTATTCTTCAGCCTGTTCTGATTATAAAGGCTCGCTGCGAATGCACTTATGTGCTATTTGATTAAGAAGAACTCAAATGAAGTTCTATTACTATATTAATAAGGTTCAAATTATTGCTGTTCCGCAAACTGGAATGCACTTATGCTGGTTGCCGATATAATGTCTAATAAGATTTCGTATCAAAACCCTATACCTGTTTCTTTTCCTTTTGTATTTGATATCTCTAGGTGTGAGAATGGCTATTTAATTGAGATGTTCGGTCATCCAGTTTCTTTTTATTCTGAGAAAATCAAAATATATGCAAAAGATGATAGCATTAGCACCTTTAGTGCACTTATGCTTTTGTTCTTCACCTCACATAATGTCATCAATGCTTTGTTTGGTATCCGAGAAAATGTAGGACAAGATACTGAATAAAAATCTTGTGGTATTCATTGACAGAAGATGTAAGAATGTCTATTTGATTGAGATGTTCTTTTATTCACTTTCTTTTCATTGCTGAAACATTTGTAAGGGGAAGAAAACTAGCAGGATATAAATACCGAGGTTCTTATCTTGTTTTATTGCTGAAAAATACTAAGAAAATTTGAGTTTTAGAATCTCTTAAAAATCCCTTCTTTTTTAATTTAGCCAATTCAACAAATTTATAATGAAAATTTTAGGTAAATCGTTTCTATTGTTTGTTTATGCTCATTAGGCAGCTGAAAACCCTAGGGAAAGCAATAATTGGGACTTCAACTCTTTTGAATTTTATCTTTGAGTCTCACATTGTTTGTTTTGTTAAATTAATAAAAGAATTCATTTGTCTGAGAGGACACAAAGAACCACTCATTTATGCCCAAAAACAGCAGCCATGTTCAACCCTCCCTCTCTCACTCCCCTCTCTTGTTCACAATCTTAGAAAAACAAAGTATCAGGGTATGATCCTGAACACAAAAGTTAAATTTTCCCGTATATAGTATAACAATAAGATGAAAAGGAGATATACTTTCTATGGATCCGGTATCTAGTTTTTATGGATTCTGAATTCATATATTTATCTGTTTCAGAGGAATTTAGATCAGTTAGAAACATTATCAAAGAAACTCAAGGCGAAAACTCTACGAAATGAGGCTCCTCAACAATCCGTTGCTGCCACAAGGTAGTAGAATGATTTGTCTCAAAATATATCGTATTTCTCAGATTCACTTTATTTATGTTGATAAATCTCTTTTTTTCCCAAATCACTTTACTTATTGCAGGTAAGGTTGAGGGTATTTATCAAGTTTTGTTCTGTGCTTAATTTTTAGCTAGTATATGTGTTCAACTATATCGTATTCGTTTATTACAGGCTTCTTGCACGTGAGGGACTAAATGCAGAGCAGCTTGCACGTGACCTTAAGTCCTTTGAATTGAAGGTAACATGACCTATACATTCTACTTTATGTAGAAATATGCCTCATTGCAATTTTGCTTAAAAATTGTTAACCATACAAAATTATTTGATGAATCAATTTGGTGCTACATTTTAAACTTCGTTCCATGATCTCAAGGCATTTCCGTGTTTGTAAGAGAAAGCTAATGAGTAGACTTATGTAAAAGTAGAATTAGCATTGAGAAGGATCTCCTTTATGCTAACACAAAAGATGCAAATTTTGTCTAAGGCCAATATTTCAACTTATTTGTAAGCCATGTTTTCCTTAATTCTCAGGTCAACTTATTCAAGGAGTTCTTAGTTCAAATGTAACTGTACTTGCTTTGAGTTATTTTCTTAGGTGAAGTCAATGGCTGCTTAGAACTCCTGCTACATGTTCACTTCTTTTTTCTGGGCTTACACCTCCAAAGAATAATTGTATCACAATTTTTTAGATTCTAAACTACTTTTACTCATTCCTTACCATGTTTACTAATTTATTTCGGTGGTTTTCCTTTTCTTCATTCAAAGACAACATTTGAAGATGTTTTTCCGTCTGAAGCAACAAATGTTGAAGAGTATCTGCAGCAGGTAGATTTAACTCTATAACTTTTTACTAATGATCTGATTAGATTACTGTATGTTTCTTTCACTACTGTAACATTGGGTCCTCCCTGATATTCTGAAAGATGGTTTTACTTGATACACGCCTTAAATTTTGTGGGATAACATGATGGAACTAATGTATTAGACATTGGAAACATGCATTTATTTAGCAAGATTTTCTTTAAGAAAATTTGGCTTTTAATGTCGGTATTACAAGATGGAGCTGCAACATATAGAACTATTGATAATGCTTGTCGCTTGTTAATTATTGTTTTGCGTCCTTGCATATTGACTGGATATGACATCTTGCTCAGGTTTTGTTATTAAATTAGTAATGAACTATAGATAAACTGAATGTTGGATCATTTAGCTGAGTTTTATATTTTATCTAATTATGTTTTCATTCTTTAAAGTAAAATTGTATGTACATTTGTTTTATTTACTTTCCAAGAAGACATGCTTGTGTTTCGTTTTTGAATATTTGTCTTTGGGATACATTATATTTGCCTCCCCCTATAATTGAGACAAATTTATGTTTTGTTATTTTTCGTTTTCTTAATTTCTTTCTTTATGGCATTGTCTTTGGGTATGCTAATTTTCTTTTTTATGGCTAAATGCATGAGTTACTATTTATTTATTGTGCTGTCCAAGTGCAGCTCGAAAATTTGATCAATAATTTTCCTTCTTTTGGGTACTGTATAATGCTGTTAGAGATGTGCGTTTAATTTTAATTGGTGTATGAGCAAGATCTATATAATATGGTCACACCAGTTTGTTTTCTTTTCATGCCTTAAAATGCTTTATTTCACTTTTCTGAGGTGTACTTGTTCTGATTTCCAGAGATTGATAGTGATTCTTTAACCATAGTGTATACAATTTTTTCCTCATTAGGTCCATCAAATGGCAATGGTCTCAGCTCTTCAAGAAGCTCAGAAGGATAACCTTAGAAGTTTTAATGATTACATGTTAAAAGTTTTGGAGGTTAGTGTACTCCAATGGATTTTTGCAATATCATATTTACTGGGTTTCCCTTGTTTAAAATTTTACTAGTTTTTATTTATTTATTTTTATGTATGGCCGCTCTCATGCCTGTATATGCTCTGATATCCTTGGAGAAGCATTTTAAATTCCCTCTTTCTGTTGGTTTTTAGTTATTGTTCGACGAAATAATGAATGATTGCAAGTTGCTTTAGTTTAAAGATCCTGTTGCCTTAGTTTTGACAAAAAAAATAGTTACTTATAGAGAAGGAAAGGAATTGGCATGAAAGTGTTTTAAACAGTCTTATGATCATTTATGCTCGTTCTGCGTTCAAAGTTGGTAATGGCGGAATTTGATATTTGTCAGGAGGATTGGCAAAAGGAAAAACGTGATTTCCTTCAAAGCTTAAGCCAGATTTCGACGTTACCCAGGACCAACATGACTTATACTAGCAGCGGTGGTAGCCATTCTGGTCAAATAGCATCCATAACTTCTAGCCCTCAAGTTTCATCTTATCCATCTAGCATGGAGCTTGTACATTTAGAAAGCAAGCCCATCCGTGACAAGAAAGCCTCTGTCTATGCTGAAGTTGTAAAAAGTCTGAATAATGCAAGGCAGCGCGGATTACCGTATAAGGTAAGTTTTTATTTTTTAAGGTATAATTCTTTTTGTTTTATATTGCGAGGAATCTGAAATTATGAGCTCAAGTGAATTATTTCATGCTCCATTGTTTGATAAATGCCCAAGAGGCTGCTTCGAATTATTAAACTATAATGCAACTCAATATGCTGTCAACCTAACAGTTCTTATTATTCCAACTGCCAGAGTATGCATACTTGAATGAATTCCCCCTTCAGTTTGGTGGTTTTGGCCTTTTACAAATTTTATTTGATGAGTGTGATGTTAGGGAATAATGAGATTTTCTATTAATGGTTGCTGTTAATTTATTTTTTTTCATTAGCCCGCCACAGCTTTCAGGGGTGCTTATGAGAGTTTAGGCCTTGATGGATCTGGTGGAAAATCAGTTAACATGCAGAAGATATGGCACCTTCTTCAGGTATACTTGTAGACATGTGCTCTTTTAAACTGCTTTATGTTAGCATGTGCTTTTTTTGGAGGTCTCTACAGCTACATTAGATAATCAACGGTTGACAATCTGATTCTCATTATGTTGACAGACGTTGATGGGTGAAGATATAACCCTACCGCGTAGCGTTTCAAAAAGGATGTCATTAGTTATTGGGGCAAGGCGCCACCTAGAATGGGGGCATGAAAAATACATCATGGATACAATTCAAAGTCATCCGGTGCAGGTACTAGTTTGTCTTTATTTTATTTTTTTTATTTTTTTTATTTTTTTTTCTTTCTTCTGTATGTTAAAGGCCTACTGACGCTCCGATTAGAAGATGCGACTATGGGACAGAGGTTCAGGGCCGAAGGGGTAGAGGAAGACCTAGGAAAACTTTGGAAGAGACTCTAAGAAAAGACTTAGAGTACTTGGATCTAACGAAGGACATGACACAGGATCGAGCACAATGGCGTTCTAAGATTCATATAGCCGATCCCACTCAATGACTTGGATTTTCCAAGTCTCCAACCAAGAAGTTTTCCTCACTCGGGAAATTAAGGGAACACTACCCCAACCTACATGCTCCACTCAGAAAGCTTCAACATACAAGCTTCAACAAAAAGAAAATTCAAAGAACTTAGCGAAGAAGGCTTTGGTGTATTTAACACAATACGTTGAAATGAAGGAAAGCTTATTTATTGATATCCCCGATAAGCTACAAATATGTACATATACATGAGTCAAAATAAACACACAAGAGGGAGCCTTCACAAAGGTTGCTTAGGAGAAGTCTCAGCAGTCGGTAGAGCCCTAGAAAGAGAAGGCACCGGAGGGGGATCATTTGGAGCCTCAGTACTGGACAGAACCCTAGAAGGAGGAGGCATCAGAGGTTGATCATTTGGAGCTTCATTACGCGGTACAGCCCCAGAAGACGAAGGCAATAAATGCCTTTGGAACAAACCCACAAATCTCTGATGATCAAGTAAAACCTGACCATCAGTTTCCTTCATCTGGTCAAGCTTCCTCTTCATGTTTGTAGCATAGTCATGTGCGAGCCGGTGCAACTGTTTATTTCTCATGCTTGAGCCCTCTAATCTCCTGTTTGAGACTCATCACTTCAGCCGCCAATGATTCAACTTGGCGGGTTCGAGCAAATAGGCGTTGTGCCATATTAGACACAGAACCTGCACACTGAACACTGAGAGCCAGCGAATCCTTAACAGCTAACTCATCAGACCGTTTGGAAAGTAGTCTGTTATCTTTGGGAGTGAGAAGGTTCCTGGCCACCACCGCAGCGGTCATATCATTCTTCATCACGGAATCCCCAACGGTAAGAGGACCAGTTGGGGAGACGAAGGATGGGCGCCATATGTTGTCTGGAGAAGGCGGGGCTGCCTCTTCAACAAGGTTCAAGTCAAAACGACGGTCGGAGGGGCCAGACATTTTCAAAGGTGTTGAAGAGAGAAGAGGTCGGACAAATCAAGATCTTAGAAGTGCAAGAATGAAGCTTCTACTGGTGGAGATTCAAGTGTGCTTTGGAACTTAATGCCAGCCCCTATAAAAATCTGCACTCGACGGAGCTTCAGAAATCAAAGAGGCGCCTGCTCAGAAATCGAAGAGGCGTTTGCTTTCTCAAAAGTTGGGCTGCTTAGAGATCACGAGGGTTGATCTCAGAAATCGAAGAGCCGTTTGCTTTCTCAAAAGTTGGGCTGCTCAAAGACCACGAAGGCCGATCTCAGAAATCGAAGAGGCGGCGCTCGCTTTCTCAAAAGCTGGGCTCCCTAGAGACCACGAGGGCCGATCTCAGAAATCGAAGAGGCACCTACTTTTCCAGCCTTGTCAGCAGCACCTGTCACACGCACACTCAGCTTTGCGGAAATTATGGGCATTCTGTCAAAGACTTCTGGGGAAGTAGAAAACACATGAATCTTACTGTTCAATCACCCACTTCCCACACGCAACAATAGCTCATGGGTACCACAGATAACTTTGCCAAAGTTCTCTGCCAAAGTTGAGCACGTGAAGCTTGCAGCTCCCACTACATCGCTCTGACCAAAGGGTAAAGGAACAGTACCACTGCTGGATAATTGGAAAGTCCCTGTGTGTCAACCTCTGTGCTTCGTGGCAAGGTAGACTAGCAAACATGCCCAACCTTTACTCACATTCGAGAAAACAGTCCCAACAAGATTGCTTGCTCCAAAATCGAAGAGGCACCGTCCTTCGAATCTCGAGAGCCAGACTCCCAACATGACTACTTTCTCAAAATCGAAGAGAGGGTAAAGGAACAGTACCATTGCTGGATAATTGGAAAGTCCCTATGTGTCAACCTTTGTGCTTCGTGGCAAGGTAGACTAGCAAACATGTCCAACCTTTACTCACATTCGAGACAACACTCCCAACAAGATTGCTTGCTCCAAAATCGAAGAGGCACCGCCCTCCGAATCTCGAGAGCCAGACTCCCAACATGATTACTTCCTCAAAAATCGAAGAGACACTGCTCTCCGAATCTCGAGAGTCAGACCCCCAACATGATTGCTTTCTCAAAAATCGAAGAGGCATCGTTCTCCGAATCTCGAGAGCCAGATACCACAGACCACTTTTTCAAAGTGCTCTGACAGAGTTAAAACATGTGAAACTGGCAGCTCCCACTACCGTGCTATGACCAAGCAGGGTAAAGGAATAGCATTACTACTTGTTGTTAGGGAGACTCCTATATATGTCGACCTCCATCCCCAACGGACAGGCAGACCTGCAAAAATGCTCAACCCTTCATCATATCTGAGAGGGCACTCCCAACAAAGCCTTTCGAAATATTCAGCTTTCTTTCCCCCCGATAATACCTCTGCAAACAAGCTATACTAGAGCAAGAATATCTCATATCATCAGGGTTAAAAGCAAGAGTATCCCATATCATGCTTTTTCCCTGTTTTTTCTTTTGGCCTTGTTTTTACCTGCAAGACAAGGAGAAAGAGAGCAATCAGTCAGCACTTGGAATCAAGCTTCCAGCCAGGAACTGACTGCCTGGAACCCCTTACCTGATTACTTACCTGGCATTGCTCTCGAGTACTCATCTTCAACATCTTATGTTTCCAGGGAAGATTCTGCATCTGCTTGAGGAACAGATAGGGCAAGTGCGAAGGATACAAGGAAGCATGTGGAGACAAGCGTAACAGCACACGTGCCGATACATCCATTACTCTGTCAAAAGCAAAAGTATCCCATATCAGCAGGGTGGAACGTACTCTAGATTTGATGGACTTGTTTTGACCCTCAAATTCTTCAGTCGGCCTTATACTCTGGAGGAAACCAGAAAACCTTCCAGCTCAGTTCAAGAATAAGCCTGTGGAAAGTTACTTCTTCAAAAGCAAAAGTATCTCATATCATCTCTTCTCATTTTTCTTCTCTTTATCCTTCATGCTGCTGCAAGATGGGGAGAAGGTGAACAATCAGTCGGAGCTCTGATTGCTTACCTTGTCTGTCACCTCTTTCAGCAGACCCCCTAGCTCGGCGACTTGGGGGACTCCTACTACATGGTTTGTATCGCGCTTGACCAAGCCTGAAACTACAAGTAAGCTTCAAGTGAAATTGATACATTACCTTGTGCATCTCCACCAGTTAAAGATACCACCCCTGGATGGAGGAAGAGTACTTCCAGAGAAGATGCCACATCTACCTATGAGACAGATAAGGCAAGTCAAGACGACACCACACTCCGATACTTAGAAGTTTCGTGATTACGAGATCATTCTCCCACAATATTTCCTAATGTCATTTGTACTAAATCATTCACTCGTACTCACTAAAGGAGAGCTTGAACCTATGTACTTGTGTAAACCCTTCACAATTAATGAGAACTCTTCTATTCCGTGGACGTAGCCAATCTGGGTGAACCACGTACACGTACATCTTGTGTTTGCTTTCCTATCTCTATCCATTTATATACTTATCCACACTAATGACCGGAGCAATCTAGCGAAGATCACAAAAAGCGACCGTTTTCGTTACCTATGATCTATCTTGCAAGAGAACGGAGAATTAGATGGAGATCTCAACCATAGAATACGAGCTGGATGGAAAGAGTGCATCCGGCGTGTTGTGTGACCGTCGTAGGCCACTGAAGCTCAAGGGAAAATTTTATAGGACGGCAATAAGGCCAGCGATGTTGTATGGCAGAGAATGTTGGGTGGTGAAGCATCAACACGTACACAAAATGGGTGTAGCGGAGATGAGGATGCTTCGTGGGATGTGTGGGCACACGAGAAAGGATAAGATTGGGAATGAGGATATCCGAGGTACAGTAGGAGTAGCCGAAATTGTAGGAAAGATGAGAGAAAATCGGCTCTGGTGATTTGGACATGTGCAAAGAAGGCCGACTGACTCTCCGGTTCGAAGATGTGACTACGGGACAGAGGTTCAGGGCCGAAGGGGTAGAGGAAGACCTAGGAAAACTTTGGAAGAGACTCTAAGAAAAGACTTAGAGTACTTGGATCTAACGGAGGACATGACACAAAACCGAGCGCAATGGCGTTCTAGGATTCATATAGCCGACCCCACTTAGTGGGAAAAGGCTTTGTTGTTGTTGTTGTTGTTGTTGTTTGTATGTTAATTGTTAAAAAGATTTTTTAGATGCGTTTTTTTATGTTTGGTCCCAATCCTTACATGCTATCCCTTTGGTCTTTCAACCTATCGGTTACTTTCATGGACTTTCTAATTTATAAATTTTATCGTTACAGTTATACTTCTGCAGCAACTTTTCTTCCTTTCCATTGTTTGTAAGACATTTCAATTTTCATCATAACAATCATAATTCATGGTCACCTCTTGATCCAATTTCAGGCTGCCCTGGGAGGAGTTGTTGGAAATTTACAAAGAATCCGTGCCTTTCTTCGGGTTTGTAATCATATTTTTCTTTAATCTTTGAGATCTTGCATGTTTTTACACGCTTTGTTATCCTTTAGGATCTTCATCTTGCGATTCAGTGTTTGTTTGTTTCTGCAGATTCGTTTAAGAGATTATGGAGTTCTAGATTTTGATGCGGGAGATGCTCGTAGGCAGCCTCCTGTTGATACCACTTGGCAGCAGGTCTTCAGTTTTTATCTTCTACATTTCTTACAATTCCCATTCTTGTTTACCTCGACCTTAATTATGAAATCGTACTCCAATATAACTAACATAGTCAGCTTACAAGTTGTATGTACACATTTCATAAATCCCAATCATCCCTTAGATCAAATTGTAGGTATGTCATTTGATCACTTTATTGTGTGACAAAGAATAAGTGCATGTTGAAAATCAAATGCTTATAATGAACTTTAGCAGTATGCATTTGATTTAAATCTTATGTCAGAGTCTTCTCATTGCCCTTGTCTTCAATGCAGCTAAAATGTTAGCTATATGTATATGGGATGAAGAATCTTACAGGAATTTTTGACCTTTTGGTCCAGCTATCTTGCACTGACGGGAGTATTCATTCTATCTTATAGCAGCGTCTCCTTTGTTTGTTGTTGTTTGCCTTCTATTTGTTCTTGATACTGTTAAGGTCTTTTACTATCTTTTTACCTTTCAATTGAAATAGTTGTTTTAATAATTTGGAGAAGGCGCAAAGATTTGAAATGTATCTTTGGGTCTCTTCATTCCCTGTTAGATTGTAAAAGGAATAGTGATTTGAAAGCAGAAAAAAGAATCTGCAATAAAATATTTAACTGCTTTCTTTGCTCCCTCCCGAATTTTCTTTTTGTGAAATATTCATTGTTCTTTTTATCCAAAGAAGCTGATTTTCACTAAATTTTATTATATGTGGCAGCTCTACTTTTGCTTGAGAACTGGGTATTACGATGAAGCAAGATCTGTTGCTCTGTCATCTCGTGCTTCACACCAGTTTGCTCCTCTGGTAAAGATTTTTGCATATGCATATAATTTTATAGCAAATGCAGCCTTAGTCATACTTCATTTTTCTACAGCTTACGGAGTGGATTAATACTGGGGGTATGGTGCCTGCGGCCATTGCAGCTTCTGCGTCAGAAGAATGTGAAAAAATGTTAAGAATGGTTGATCGTGTGGGCCGAGCTGCATATGACAAGAAAAAGTTGTTATTATATGCTCTAGTATCTGGTTCTCGTAAGCAAATCGACCGTCTACTAAGAGATCTACCAACGCTTTTCAACACTATAGAGGATTTCTTGTGGTTCAAATTGTCAGCTGTAAGAGATTGCCCTGGTGGAGGTGCCCCCATTGTTATGAATGAGAGCTTGGTACCATACACATTGGATGATTTGCAGATTTACTTAAATAAATTTGACCCGTCATATTATACAAAAAATGGAAAGGACCCCCTTGTGTACCCATACGTTTTGCTTTTAAGCATCCAATTGATACCAGGTGTGCTATACTTGTTTAAAGAAACTGGAGATGAGGGATATAACATTGATACTGCCCACATATCAATTGTGCTAGCAGATCATGGGGTCCTTTCTGAAGGTGCTGGTGCTGGACAGAAAATGGGCGTGATGGATGCTTACGCAGAGGCATCAAACATAATCAGGCAGTATGGATCTGTGTATTTACGTCTTGGTAATCTATCAATGGCATTAGAATATTATGCACAAGCTGCTGCTGCGGTTGGTGGTGGGGAATTGTCATGGTCTGGAAGAGGTAACGTTGATCAGCAAAGGCAGAGAAATTTGATGCTGAAGCAGCTCCTTACAGAGCTGTTGTTGCGGGATGGTGGGATCTATTTATTACTTGGTTCAAGAGGTGCCGGAGAAGGTGATTTGGGTCGATTTTTGACTGATGCAAAAGCAAGGCAACAATTTCTTCTTGAAGCTGCACACCAATGTCAAGAAGCTGGGTTGTATGAAAAGGTGATATTTCTTTCCGTCCATGCTTTTAATTTGCAAGTTTTGTACGGAGAAGTTGCAAGTAGTACTAATCCTCTTTCCTGTTTAACTAATTTATGTTTTTATTTAAATTTCTTCGTCCTGTTCCAGTTTAGATGCTGTTTTACTAGTTTCAAATGGAAATTAATTATTACTTGTTATTCAATTCCCTTTTTTGTCCTTGGTGGTGAGTACAACCCTTTTCCATCAGAATAGGGGCTAGTACTACTTGGGGGTGGATTCTTTTAGCCACAAATTTGGATAATTGATTTTAATCTTAATTCTGCCATCTTCAAATGTTTATAATTTTTTTCTGGATATTAGTCTTTCCTTCTTTGATATGCTGTTTCTTTCTTATCAAAAAAAAAAAAAAAAAAAAAAAATACTGATGCTTTGATTAATTTTGCTCTTTTCTTGATCTTGTGTTCTCCCCCTCTATTCTGTCCATCCAGTCTATAGAAATTCAGAAACGAATAGGAGCATTCTCGATGGCATTGGATACTATTAACAAGTGCCTCTCTGAAGCAATTTGTGCCCTTTCACGTGGTAGATTGGATGGTGATAGTCGAACTGCTGGCCTCATTCACTCTGGAAATGAGATCTTGGAAATGCACAAATATTTTCCTGATATCAGGTCATTTCAATACTCACATTTTATATTTATCCTGAACTTCAGCTAGGTTGAATAATGTTTCTGTTTATACTGGTGCTAATTTTGATGGATACTGGTAATAAAAATTATTCACTTGGAGTTGGTCTGGTCTTTGCTGTTAAACTATTCGGATATGTAAACCTAATTTCAATAACCATGTAAATATGAATGAAATAAGCATGTTTTCTCTGGCATACTCATATGGTATGCAATTATTCATCTATTATTGGAAAAAATACTTAGAGCCTTTGTTTTTTTCAGTAATCATTAATTAATTATTTAACTAGTTTAAATTTGGAGTGTTTCTTGTAGATTGTATAACATCTTCCAGAACATGAAGGCCTCATTTGATAGAGAGGATTGACTTGGATACAACTATTCACTATATTAAAGGTATCTTAAACGAAGAAATGAATGAAAAATTCCTTATTTTGTCCAAGTTGAAGGTTACTCTTGAAGAATAGTTGTCCTTTTAATCCTACCATTTTTGTGGGTATTAGTAGAGATATCTCTTCATGAGTAACCTTCAACGTGGACAAAACAAGGAATTTGACATCCATTTCTTCCTTTAAAATGCCTTCAATATAGTGAATAGTCCTACCCAAGAAAATCCTCTCAAACGAGCCCAAAGTGTATACAAGGGGTTGCGTTTATTTTGTAAAGAATATACATTTGGAAATTGTACTTTTGGATGGATTTTCAACTCATGCCGTACTTACTCTTTTCGGATGATTTCTGATGATCTTTCTCTTTATGCAATTTTTCTTACTCGAGAGTCATTTGAGTGTAATGTGCAGTCCTCAAGAGAGGGAAATTGTTTCTGAGCAGTACATTGTTTTAAGACAACTTGAGGCCGTACTGTCAATCCATAAGTTGGCAAGAGGAGGCTGTTATGCTGATGCTTTAAGGGAGGTTGCCAGGCTTCAATTTCTTCCATTAGTTCCCGGGACACCAGATGCTACCACCGATGTCTTCCAGAATTTATCTCCGCATGTCCAAGCCTGTGTTCCAGACCTCTTGAAGGTTGCTCTCACTTGTCTGGACAACATGGTGGATTCTGATGGATCGCTTCGTGCCTTGAGGGCTAAGGTATTCTTTCAAAAATAGTTTCGTGTTCATTGCTTTATATATATATGGTTCTCAAAAGACCCTTTTCAGATATCCTTATCTATGCCTGTTTTCCATTTTGGTAAGATGGTTGAGTTCTCCGTTTAATGGTTAAGGTTGAGGCGTAACTTCGGATGCTCATAAAGTTGATGGATTAGAAGCTTGATTTTAGTGATATCATGTTTAGATATGTATCATTCTGTTTCATGATTAATCACGTCATTTGGTTTTTGCAGATTGCTAGCTTCATTGCAAATAATTCCAATAGGAACTGGCCTCGTGATTTGTATGAGAGAGTTGCCCGGAGCTTGTGAAGCAGATGAAGCACGAGATGAAGATGCATGATTGTTTTACCAATTGGAGAAGACAATCTAAAGTAGCAATACTACTTCGATGACTGAGTTAATTCGATTTTAGCGGCGTCCTCTGTTTTGTATTCAACCGGGCAAGCTGAACTGAGTTGCGATCGGATTTCTTGTGTGTAATTTGAGCACCAATATCACCCTCATTCCCATTTTTATAGCTAATGTGTGGAACTTTATATCTTCTGAAAAAGGTGTTGATATGTTTCTAGAAAAAAGTGACAATTTGTAGTGATCCATTTCTGCTTCATCGAAGGATTTGAATAATTAATCCTAATCTTAATTTTAATCTACTTCGCTTCATGTTCACTTTTCTCACAGGTTAAATATTATTCCCGTGGAGCATCTCTATTTGCCTCCCTAAATAAGCCTCTAAGGGGCCGCGTGATAATCATTTCGTTTTTAGTTTTAGTTTTTTTTTTTTTTTTTTTTTACAACTGAAATCTTGTTTGGTAGTTATTTTTTAGATTTTTAGTTTTTTTTTTCAAAAAAAATGAAACTTCATGTTTAAAATTTGGTCTTAAATTTTCACTTTTTGTTTAAATTTATATTTTTTGAAACCTGAAAACTCAAATAGTTAGTACACAAAATATTTCAATTTCAAAAAGTGAAAACTGAGAACCAAAAACAAAAAATTGAAAAAGAAAATAATTATCAAACAACCCTATTTCCTACCACAATGCATCGTAAATTCAACACAATTTAGAAAAAGGGTGGACACACCTCCATTTTCTTGGTCCCGCGGATTGTGGAATTTAATGGGTTTGAACGACCAAAATGGATTTTCAATAAGAATACGGTTAGCAAATTGCTTGGTAATAACACTAAAAACCAAATATAGTGTAATAAATAACAATTAGACAAATGAAAAAAATCGAGCAGGTGGCTTATAGCGTAATTGGTTAAGAGTATTTGCTCTTGTACTTGAGGTCCCTTGTTCGAATTCTTCTTTCTGAAGTATAACATAATTATCATATCATTTGTAAAAAATAATAATAATGAAAAGATAGAAATGAGAACTGGTAAGACGAAATAAATTTGAAGAGGTTTGAGTAGAGTAACCGAATGCAATGACACATCGAATTTCAATGATCTAAACCATCTATTTTTTCAAGTAGCACCTTATAAATCATTCTTACAAAATACTAGCCAAATCAGAAATATTTGATGAATTTATTTGAGTTCAAAAAAATCGATCAAGATTATGTTCTAAGAAACTTTGAAATTTTATCGTGACAATTAAATGTGCATATAATTTCGGATTGAATTGAATTTTTGCATAAATGATCTATGAATCGAGGATTTCAAAATAAATTGTTCAAATCGCTGAAGTTCAAAGTGAAATTAATCTCACAACTAATCTCATTTTTTTCGAAGAAAATGAAATCCCTTCCTTTAAAGGCTTGTATGAGAAGGTATTAGCCAAATGAAAAAGAAAATTAGAAAACAAACCTTTTTTTGTTCCCCCTTTACCAACTCTTCCTCCGCCTCGCCCCCGCGCAGTGTCTTCCTCCACCCCACCTTTTTCAGTCTCTTCCCCGCCCACCACCCCCCCCCCCCCGGCGTTTATATATCCTCTTCCGACCCGAGCTTATCTCTTCCTCCCTCACCGCCCCTTTTTCCTCCCTCCCCCCGAAACCCTCTCACTGTCTTCCATCCATTAACGAGGTATATTTCTTCATTCAATTTGCCTGCTTCACTCTTATGTGCTTAGTTTTATTGATGCCTCTGTTGCATTTAGTTTGTATTGTTTGGTGTAGTGGGTTATATAGTAGAAACTATTGGGTTCTCTAGCATAAGCTACGATTTTGTTTTGAATCTTTTAAGGGTAAGGGCAGCCTTGCAGGGAATTATTGACATATAGTTTCTCTGTATCATTTCAGAAACAAAGGGCTCTAAACTTGGCAAAGTATTAAAAAGAAGCTGTATATGTGTACTTGGTGGGTTTTTATATTGGTATTCTTGTTTTGATGTTGTTGGGGGTGAATGCTACAGTTTATAATCCGATTAATTAAGTCACACTGGCGAGGAAACCTTAAATATTAGAATGCACAGCGTTTTTGTGTCAGTCAATAGCTTTTGTGTTTTGAGTATATTACTATTAATAATTTTTCCTTGTTGTAGCTCTGCTAAACTTTTAATCAAAGTGTTTGCGATCAATATCTATAAGGGTGCTAATTCCTAAAGTGCTAGAACTGTTATTTGCTCAAATAACACTTTAAAAACAAACTTCTAGGTTGAAATTTGGTATAATGGAGGTCGTGGACCGGGAGAAGAAGAAGAAGATCAATGACATTGATGAAGGAGAAGATCACTATGCTTCTGTGTCTGCTTCCAAGTCGCAATTCAGGTAATTAATTAGCTTTATGAAAAAGTTACAGAGTAGTTTAGTTATGTATAGTTCTGATGTTGAGCTTTATTTTCAGGAAAGTCATATTGAAGGCTCGCTGGAGTGATGAGATGGGTATGGCTGAGGTTGTAGATAAAAAGGGTGCAATTTGGAGGACCACGGGAATTGTTCGTAGTGGCAAGCTCTATTTCTTCATTGAGGAAGTTTTGTAAGTGAAAAAACTATATTTTAATTTTAATTGGATTTGAATTAACTCAATTATAACAATCTTGATTCCTTCATTTCTGTCTTACTTTCTGATTCAAGAAGCCTTAGATTTTGAACACGTTGTTTGTGGTTGAATATATGCCTTTCAAAGCCTTGATAGCGTTGTCTTATGAAATTGTTCCTTTCACCTAGAAACCTAAACCCTACACGAATTCAATTGATGTTGAGCTTGTAAGACATGTACCACATTACTTGCTTGCCGATAGACAGAAAGGTGGTGATTTCTAAACATGTAAACGGCAATTAGCTTTTGTAAAGGCTTTTGGCAGAGTTCCTAACATACTGTAGACACCTAGGTCACTTTATCTAATTTGCCATTTACATGTTTAGCAATCACTGACTTGCCGTCTATCGGCAAGCTAGTGATGTGGTAAACGTCTTCCAAACTCAACATCTGTCGTCAACATGATTTAAGTGCGAATTCTGGTAGATCATGAAATTTGTGCATTTGTTTGAAATATGTCTTTGCAAATTTTAAGAGTCCTTTAAAGGTTTTGGATTGAAATAGGGGCTTTGCTTCTCATGGATGATGGTGATATAAGCCTTTCCTTGGAAGATATGTATGTGAAGATTTCAGATGGAAAGCATGGGTGCAGTTGGGAGGAATTTCAAGCTTATAGGCAACTCAAATCTCTCGGTTACATTGTTGGGCAGCATGGTATCCCCTGGTCTATGAAGAGTGCGAAGAGTAATCATGAATCTGTTTCTTCTCAGGGTGGCCTTGATAGCGATGAGGAGGTGGATTTGGATTCAGAAGAGTCTAGGTCTGTCATTGGATTGTTCAATGATATGCAAATTAATGAAACAAGGCTGGTATTTGATGTTTATCTCCCAAACAGCAAGTTCAGGAAATCTTCTCCTGGTGACCCAAGTTTTGTGCTCTGCTTTACCAGGTATTCATATTTTGGTAAATCGTAAGAATTTAACGAAGTTTATTCTGTTTGTGATTAGCTGCAATTATTATTTTTCTTTCCTCATTCTCTGTACTGTTAAATGATCCGATCAGTATTTCGTTCCCATGTAATTATATTTATTCAAATCTACACTTGCCTTCCGTTTTTCAGAGGTCATCCACCACCCAAAGCAGACCTAGAAGCCCTCGAGAGACGATGCGATAACATTCCCATGAAAGTTTGTCATGTGGAGGAGGGGGTTGTGAGTTTCTTTTCCTTTGACAAAGTGGAACTTCCTATCCTACCTTGATACCAGGATTTGATACTGGTGTATACTACATGAGTCGATGCAACACCAACAACATATTAGCATCTCTCTTGACTAAAAGCATACTTGTATTTTTCAACTTAGCCACTTAGTATTACGGTTTAGTGATATTTCTCTTCACTTGTAAGTGAGAGGTCTTAGGTTCAACTCTCGCTAAAGACGAATTTGAACCACATTATTACTAACGCATTATGAGGCGAAGCCCAACTTCTCTCTCTTGGAGTAGATAATATCGTTTGTAAGAAAGAAAAAAAAAATAATAATAATCTCCTCGCTTCAACATAGCCTTATTCATATGCCCCCTGAAAAAACAAAGAGAGGCTCTTCTGATATGTTGGTGGGTTCCAACAGTCTATTTATATTAAAGGAAATTTAGTTCAGGTCCGTAAGAATTTTATATTTCGGCATATCATTTTTTAGGTCAACTGATTCTTCAACTAAAGTCAATTACAATTCCCTCCAAAAATTCTCTTCATCGATAAAAGCCCAAAATTATATGTAACACTAACACGCACCCAGCCCAAAATTGCTCCGCTGAAAACACCAAAACACTTTCCTTTCTCTGTCTACCTTAGAGCGTCTCAAGAAGATGTCAAATATAATATATCAAAATTTTATTTGATGGTGGATCTGCTCAAATTAAATACAAATGTTAAATCTTCTTTTATTCCAATAGATGTGTCAAATATTTATTTTATTATTACATTGGGCCCTATGGTTATATTAACTATTAAAAATAATTAAAATTGATTTTAGTTTTTATTTTATTGATTGTCAATGGGACCACTCATTAAAAATTAAATTAAATATATTTGACTCCTTTCTTTGCAGATAAAAAAAAAAAACAGTTTATTTGACATATTAGACATCTCCTTTGGAGATGGTTTAAGTGTAGCAAATATACCTTCTCCTGTCTCCTAACCAAATTCCCAAAATGCACAACTGAAATTAAATGCAACGAGAAATGATAAGGAGCTCCCTCAAAAGGGGAACTTTTCATAGACTCTTTACTACCTCATTTTGGCACAATGTTTTATAATGTTGGCACATTAATTGATGTTAAACTGTGAGATGCCAGAGAGTTTATAGAGAGTCTCAATTATGAGAGAGTCTCTTTAGCATTTCTCAACACAATAATTTAAGATCCAGAAAAAAAAATCAAAATGTTTCATAAATTACCGACTAGTATATTTGCATGTCGTTGTCCATATTAATATAGGGATGTGCTATCCACACACCTCATTTTACTTCTCACACATTCCTTGATAATTTTTATCCGTTGATCTTCTTTAATTCATCCGATCCGACGGCCGAAAATTAAAAGGGTGTGTGAGAAGTAAAATGAGATGTGTGGATATCACATCCTTTAATATAAGGGCTGGTGCCAACTTTTTATTGCACATCGTAAAATTAATGTTGTATCTAATACTTTTTACTTATAATGATATTTGAGGTAGGTTGCGAAGAGAATGATGTTTCACAAATTTGCAGAAACTAATAAATTGTGATGTCACCGCAAGTAGTGCACGTTCTGTTGCTAACATGCGGTAGAGGGTTATGTTCGTGTTAAAAAACGTCATCCACGAGGGAGCCGATTACAATGTCAACCGCCGTGATGAAGGTAGGATCGTGCCAATATTACTCCATTTTAGTCACCGTGGGATTGACCCGTGTACGAGGTAGCGCCGGAGTGCGGAGTTTGTCATTATACATTACTCGGTTGAAGCACTCTCTTGGCTTGCATGAGTATAAACTATGAACGACAAACTCTTGCAGTACTGCTGTTGGTTTATGTGGAAGCGGAGATGTAATAGGGTATTTGACAGTAGCCTCGAGAAAATGGGAACAGTAGCTTAAGCCGTTAGGTGTACAAAATCCAGTTCTCGCCTCATTTACTGCACATCTATGTGAGATTGGTATATACTTCTCATATATCGAAGGACAGGAAAGTGAAAGCAACAAATTTTGGAATAGTGTAGTTGCCAAAAAGAGAATATATTGTTCAAATAATTGTCCATATTAAATTTGGTTGAAAGTGCATGGAGTTGGTGGACACGTATAAATTGTGGGGTAAACATGGATTTAAGGACTATAATGTGTATGTGACCAAAACTAAAGGACTAAAATGTGTTAAACAAAATTTGTAGCTTGTGTTATATATAAAAAGCTTTTTAGCCAAAATAGTTTATGAGATTTACCTAACTTCTCACTTTGGTTCTGAGATTTGAAATTGATAGGAGTGGTCAATGAGATTGTCCATCATCAATCATTTTGGTCATTCGGTGAAAAAAATATGTTAAATAAGGATCAAAATGATAAAATTACCCTCAATATAATAAACAATAGGCCAAAATGATTTGACAAAAATTGAGGGTATTTTTGTCATTTTATCCTTATTTAATGGAGATTTTATATGGAATGACCCAAATGATTGATTGTGGACAAACTTAGGGATCAATTCTATCGATTTCAATCTTAGGGACAAAAGTGATGAGTTATACAAATCTCATGGACCATTTTAGCTAAAAAGCTTATATAAAATATATATTTATAATAAAATAAAATCGTTACTTGTTTATTTTTTATTATTGAAAAAAGTAATATCACACTTACCATCTATTTGTACTATCATTTATACCATTTTTCTAATAGAGGTAGTGCCTGCCAACGCATATGGTTCTTCTTCTTCTCTCGAGATAGGGTTCTTCTTCTTCTGGTAAGGGAAACACTTAAAAAGTCGAAAGGAGGAGGTTGAGATTCTTAAATTTTGCTCGAGCTATGAAACGATGAATTAATGCACAAATACTATTATCTAGTGATATGAGCAATAAAAGAAGAAAACTCCATGTGAGAAGCTCCACCTTCAACCCTCGACTGGCGGACGTCAGCCCCCAACTCCGCCGCCCTCTTCCTTATCTCATCCCCTTCTTCCGACCACATAAATTTCTGCACACCATTTTTAATGCTCTGTGACGTGACAAGCTCATCCCTCTTATCCCAATGCCTCATAACAAAACCAACTCCAAGCAACTTTGTGATCAAAACAGTATTCCTTGGTTGGTCAGAGTGCATTGGCCAAGCTGCTATAGGGACCCCCATGGTGATGCTCTCTATGCATGAGTTCCACCCACAGTGACTCAGAAACCCTCCTGTTGATTTGTGGGATAGGATATCCAGCTGTGGGGCCCAGTCTCGAACCACTAATCCCCTACCTTTCACTTTCTCTTCATACCCTCGTGGCAGCTCAGCCCTTCTCACCTCCCCATCACTGAAAAGGTCACCTTTATCAGCATCCCTCAAAACCCAAATGAACTTTTGCTTGCTTTCCTCCAACCCAATTGCCAGCTCTTGAATTTGCTCATCTTTCATGGCTGTGGTTGTCCCAAAAGACACATACATCACTGAACTTTGTTCTTGTTTGTCCAACCATTCCAAACACTTGTGCCTACTACCATTTGAATTATTATTAGGGTTTGCAACCGTAGTAGGGTTGAATGGCCCTATGGCCCAATGCTTCTGCTGACCAATCCTGTTTAGTAAATCTATGTATGGTCCTTCAATGGTTCTACTGGTGTTGTGAAGGTTCCCTGCGTTCATCAACTTTTGGTGTTCATGTTGTTCACCAAGGAAATTCATGAACTCAATAGTGAAACAACCTTCAAGAGACGGGATGCCGTCTGGGAGCTTGACATCGAGCTTCTCGAGCTTTTTCGGCATTCCGATTACTTCCCACAGGTACAAAAAAATGGTAAAGGCAGAGACGGAGTGAAAAGTGTAGGACTCTCCATTTGGTATAGAAGCAACATCTTGAATGACTGAAGCCATCATGGAGTCGTGGATGACGATGACTCTTCTTGCTTTGGGTGACAACTCACGTAAGAGCTTCGCCACTGGCTGGCGGAGGTGGGCGGTGGCTTTAAAGGAGGGTTGGAGATGAGAGGGGAACTTGTTTGTGGCTTTGGGGTTAGGAGGAGGGGAGAGGAAAGGTGGGGTTGGAAAGTCATGAAATTGGAGCTTGGCTTGATCCCAACAGTGGGCTCGGAGCTTGACTTGGCGGTTGTGAGTGGCGGCGCCAACGTAGTGGACGGGGATATTGTAGGCGGAGATGAGGCGAGAGAGGTGTAGGAGTTGGTTGAGGTGGCCTTGGGCTGGCAAGGGCACCATGACCACTACCACTTGGGATTGGTTTTGATGGTGTTGGTCACCGTCAGCCATATATCAATCAAATGAGACTTGGATAAGAAGTGTTAGTTTGCTTATATGATTGAAGCTTGAGATGAATCGTGTTTGAGGTTCTTTTTATAGAACCAAAGTGGGATTTTGTAAGGTATATAATGTAATATATACACACACACACATTATATATATATATATATATATATATATATATATATATATATAACATTGTGTCATTTGTCGTGCATAACATTTTAAATTTTTATCTCTTTACTTTTTGTTTTGGTGTTGTTATTAGCAGTAGGGTTCATTATACCTTATCAAAAAGAAAAAATATATTAAGAACGAAACTACTTGGGAGGAAAGGGCAGCCAAAATGGGCCACCCGTGATCCCTAATCTCAATCACTGGGGTAACAATGAGAATGATAAATTATTTTCTTTCTATTTTTTTATTTATTAATACAATAATATTTTATTTTAAGCGGGAATGAACAATGTACTTAAAAGAATAAGGATTTAGCTTGGTCACAAAATGAGATAACTATTAACTAAGAATCAAACCTAATTCAAATATTTTACGTCATCGTTATCTATGCGAGTCAAATTTAAAATAAGTGAAAAAAAATTTCAATCATAGTTTTAATAATTGTTTAACAATCAAAACTTTAAACCGAAAACATATATAAGTATTCCTTTCCCTGTCCTCTCTTTTTGTGTTTTAGCCATCGGAACTATAGAAGTTCCCTCCTTTTTTGGCTTCGAAAAGTCGTCATTTCTCATTTATTAAATACTCAACAACAATGGCAGCAAGAAAGATACGTACACACCCATCCGTTTGCCACCTTTGCCCTTGTCGTTTTCTGATATACGTACTTGTGAGTGATCACAGTCAAAATTTGGATTTTTCCTAGATTGCTTAAAAAGTAGGGTTTGCTTTGATTTTCATTTTTTTTCTTTCGGTTACTTGAATTATTGCATTGCATGTTGCCGGAGCATGAGTTAATTGGTGCTTGGAGAGATTTTTTAGTGTGATTAGAACACGAAATGGTACATTATGTATCATTATATTAATGGTGAAATATGTGTGTTAAAAAGTTAATAACTTAAAAAAAAAATACAATTTCTCACCACTTATATAAAAACACGTGGTGTACCATCTATATTTCCGTCATAATGAAAATTTTCTCTTGGTGGTTGGGGAGGTTGATAAGCATTGTTCCTTTGGTGGCTAAGTTGAACTTGAGGGTTAACGTCACCACTTTTTACTCTAGGCTAGGAAAATAATGTACGTACTGTTGGAATTTATTAGGTTTATTTAGGAAATTAATTAGAGATTTGATTTGATTTTGTAGTAGGGTATTTTTGGCATTTACGCATTAGGGTTTCTTAGGTTTATTGCTCTATAATAGAGCTTGTAATTTAGTTTGAGAGTAAGTGAGTCACAATGTAGTCTCTTAGGGTTTTGTAGCCGTCTCGGCATTCTCAGTTTGTTCAATAAAATTCTTATCATTTTATAGTCTTATTTGTTCCGCACTCTGATATTCAACTTGGTATCAGAGCAGGTTTGATCCTTCAGGATTTAATCTGTTCTTGATTAGTGTCAATTTGTTTGAATCAGTTTTGTTTGTCTGTTTGTTAGGTATCAGTTTGATATCAATTTGTTTGTAGATTGCCGTCTTCCGCTGTGTTTTTTCAGTTTAGATTCGTTGTTCATATTGTTCGTCGTTTGTTCTTGTCCTATACTTCTACACCTGATCCGCATCCCGCACCGTTCTGCACCAGATCGACCACCTTCGTGATTTTTTATGAAGCCTAGACCTGAGAACCACTTGGATCAACTTTGTCTCTGCCTTGCACAACCACCATCTGAATCCCTGCACAAATCCGACCGTTTGCAGCTGCATTGCGAATAAGTTTGTATGCGTGGAAGAAGGAAAGGAAAAAAAATTGGCTGTTTGTTTGAGACATGCGTGTTTTGCATGTTTGTTCTGGTGAAAACCAATGCCCAGAAACAAAGGTTGAAGGGAAGGAGAAAAGAAAAGGAAAAAAAAGAAAGACTGATGTTGGTGGTTCGCACAGAAGGAAAAAAAGGAAGGAAGAAGGATGAAAAAAAAAAAAAAAAAAAAGAGGAAAAAAAAAATTGTTTATTGTTTGGATTTTTTTTGTTTTGCTGTTAGTTTAAGGCCCATGCGGGCAAAGGGAAAAAAAATATTTGGTTGGATTTTTTGTTTGTTTGTTCGGCATCGGCATCGACATTTGCACTGGTACTGGCATTGGAATCTTGCACTGGCATGGAAATCTTGCACTGGCATGGAAATCTTGCACTGGCATTGGAATCGTGCACTGGCACTGGTATTGGAATCTTGCACTTGCACCAATGGAATTTCGTATTGAATTGGCATTGGAAGTTAGCATAACAAAGCTTGCATCCACATCGTCTGTTGGCAAACTCATGTCGTATACCGCCATGAGTTTGACGGGAGGTGTTGGAATTTATTAGGTTTATTTAGGAAATTAATTAGAGATTTGATTTGATTTTATAGTAGGGTATTTTTGGCATTTACGCATTAGAGTTTCTTAGGTTTATTGCTCTATAAATAGAGCTTGTAATTTAGTTTCGACACGACGTCGTCAGGCTCTTGCCGCCATCGTCCCCCTTCACTCTAAGGCGCCTTAGTTGTCATTCCATCGTTGATTTTTGGCAGCGTCGCAGCTGTTCTTGACTGCATCGTTGACGGCATCGTCTCGCATCGTTGGGGCCGGTTTTGTCCTCCACTGTTCTGGACGGTGTGCATCGTTCGCCCTTTATCGCTTTACAATTTCAATGAAGGTGTGCATCTTCTTGTCTCATTTCTACCGTCCAATCGATTGATTGTGGTCCTCCTTAGCCTATTGATACGCAAATGTCTCACTAGGAGATAATGGACCTTAAATTTTAGTGCCCATTTTATTTTATTTCATTTCTTTTTGTTGTGCTCTGTAGGGGTGGGCACTTGGAACCGAAAACCGAAACCGAAACACGAATCGAATCAAACCGCACCAAACGGTTTGGTTTTGCGGTTTTGAAACGGTTTCGGTTTCAAAACCGAACCGCGGCACACAAAACGGTTTGGTTTCGGTTTTGAGTTTTCAAAACCGCACCGAAACCGAAACCGCACCATATAATAAATAAATGATATATAACTTATATTTTAAACTTTTCAACTAGGTTATAACTTATAGGTTTGTATTATGGCAAACTTAACCTTTCAATTGGGTTGTAAAGTATTGTGAATGGTGATCAAGTTCAATTTTAGTAGATGTGATGCATAAGGATTTAAAGTTTAAACCCTTTGATGCATTGGATGTTGTCTCAATTTTAGTAGTTGTCATTTGTTGTAGTTTTGGTACAAGTTTGGTACAAGTTAGCTGCACTTTTGGTGCAGATTTTTGTTTCTGTTTTGTGCAGTTTTTTGGTGCTGTTTTTTTATGCAGTTTTACTGCATTATTTTTTGGTGCAATTTTGTGCAGTTTTGTGCAGTTTTTGGTGCAGTTTTGCTGCTGTTTTTTATGCAGTTTTACTGTATTTTTTTGGTGCAGTTTTGTGCAGTTTTGATGCAGTTTTTAGTACTGTTTTGGTGCTGTTTTTATGCAGTTTTGCTGTTTTTTTTTTTTTTTTGCAGTTTTGACTCTTTTTTGCTTCAATTAATTAATATACGAAGAAATAAGATCGTCTTATGCATAAATATGTGTATATTTTAAATTGTACATTTTTTTTTCTCAAAAACCAAACCGAAACCGTTTAAAACCGCACCGCACCGAACCGAACGATTTGGTTTCATTTCGGTTTTGGCTTCAAAACCGCACCGCAAAATGTTTCGGTTTCGGTTGTGGTTTCACTCGAAACCGCACCAAACCGCACCGCGCCCACCCCTAGTGCTCTGTATCAATATGTCACTTTTTTATCTACATAGCATTGGCGTCTTATTTGAATTTTAGGTTTTATTTGGATGATTTAAAATATATGGGGTTATGTCAAAGAAAATAGGAGTGGTAATTAAGAATATATCTCTAAAGCACCCACAAATTTAAGAGAAGATGTTGCTAACGTGTATCATGAATATTAGGAATACGAAAGTGACCCCAGAAACTAAAAACTTTATATCGAGTTAGCAATCAAAAGGTAAGATAAGAATTTGCGTAATCCTTCAAACACTACCGGGATTACACAAATTTTTATCGTACTTTTGCTAAAAAATTTGCATAATCTTTCATACTTTCCGATAGTTTTTTCCTTCTAGTTTCTTTGTCATTTTCTTCCTTACTAAAAAATCGTCCGCTATTAAAAAATAATACTCCAGTTACAAAACTATTGGATCCAATAAATTTATAAATATAAAACTAAAATATAAATACACATTATGGTGGAACAGCTCACTAATTCAGAAAGGAATTTTGACTTTAATTTCCCACATGAATGAGTTTTGGGTTAAAACTCATATTTAACCTAAGGATTGAAACGAGTTGGAGTAGGTTTAAAACTTAAAATTTGAATTTCACTCAAAGGATTGAAGTAGGTCTTATGATATGAAAGTTAAATTTGTTTTGGTAGGTTTGCGTATGGTCATCGCTGTGTTATCCTTATCCCTACATGCATCAACAAGTTGTACGCCAGTCAAATTCAGATTGCTAGGGCAACATATTATCACTAAATCACGCCTCTATCATTGGATAAAGGCAATGATTTTGATACAATTATGTAATGTTGGCACCAATCTTTATCCTAAAGGAAAAAGAGTTAAAGAGGTTTGCTAGTCTAAGTAAGGCAAACACAGCATTATGAAATTACGAATTGTGCTCAAAAGACTTGTTTAGAATATGGGCATTAATATATAGTTAGGTGCTTTATTGACTGAACACTTGCGTTAAATTAAAGTTTTGATTTATGCTATAGATTTTTTTTTAATTTTTTTAATTTTTAGCTACTTTGATTAGGTACAGTTACATAAAACAGTACCTATGTGTATAATGTACCTAAGACTGGACAAGATAATCTGGGGTTTAATAGAAAAAGAGTAATCTTATTCAAGTACTGCTCGAAAGTACACTATCCACATCATCGGTCGAAGAGGTGTGAATTGTGAGTGAGTTGCGTCAC